AGTATTCGCTCATGTTACGATACACTGCACCGATGTTGTTGTAGGAATTACCCAAGTCGGGATGATTCGGAGGGAGAGCTATTTTTTTAATTTCAAGTGACTGTTCGTACGATGAAAGTGCTTTAGAATACTCGCCCATGTGAGAATACACATTACCGATGTTGTTGTAGGATTGAGCGAAATTGGGATGATTCGAAGGGAGAGCTTTCAGACTGATCTCCAGGTCTTTTTCGTAATATGAAAGTGCTTTCAAGTACTCGCCCATGTTCTCATACACCAAACCGATGTTGTTGTAGGAAGCCGCCAATTGGAGATGATTCGGAGAGAGAGCTATTTTTTGGATTTCAAGTGATCGTTCAAACGATGAAAGTGCTTTCGAGTACTCTCCCATCCTATTATACACTCCACCGATGTCCCTGTAGGAAACAGCCAAATCAGGATGATTCGGAGGGAGAGCTATTTTTCGGATTTGAAGTGATCGTTCAAACGATGAAAGTGCTTTCGAGTAATCGCCCATGTTATAATACACTACCCCGATGTTGTTGTAGGAGTGAGCCAAGTGGGGATGATTCGGAGGAAGAGCTATTTTTCGGATTTCAAGTGATCGTTCGTACGATGAAAGTGCTTTCGGATACTCGCCCATGTTATCATACACTGAAGCGATGTTGTTGTAGGACATAGCCAAGTCGGAATGATTTGGAGGGAGAGCTATTTTTCGGATTTCAAGTGATCGTTCAAATGATGAAAGTGTTTTCGAGTACTCGCCCCTCATTCTATACACTTCTCCGATGTTGTTGTAGGAACTAGCCAAATTGGGATGATTCGGAGGGAGAGCTATTTTGTTGATTTCAAGTGATCGTTCGTACGATGAAAGTGCTTTGGAGTGTTCGCCCATGTTAGTATATACCGTACCAAGTTGGTGATAGTATTCTACACGATCGTAATCGGATGACGCCTTGTCGAGTAAAATTGTATACAAATGTTCTGCTTTTGCGGGATCACCCAGTTCAATCAGTATCCTTCCTAGTCGATTCCATCCTGTTGTCCACTTGTGGTCTGCACGTAAATGTTTGGTAAGTGTATTAAGTTCATTATCATCGTCATCCGTAAGAGTGAGGTTAACTTGCCACAGCCGATCTGTGTCATTTTCCTCGATGCGCTTCATTTGATTGACGCGAAAGATCGTATGTGTCGTAAAAAGTACTTCTTCTTCTTTATTGTCGTAGTAACCGACACCTTTCACGTCAACATAGGGAATTTTTGATTGTACACATACCATTGGATCAATATTCATAACGAAGAGTATGGCGACAGAATTAGTATTGTAGAGTGATAGACGTGCAAAGCCAAGTGAAATGTCTCGTTGACGACTGGTTGAAATAAAGTTATTGAAGGACATAAGTCCTCCTTTTGTCTGTTTCATTTTGTCGAAGTCTTCCATGGACAAACCTTGTCCACGGAAGACTGTGAATGGTCTGTTGGTGGGCTCATTGGATTGTTGTTCGCCATGCAATTTTTCAATATGTTTGTGTAAATGACGAATAAAAAAACCCATTCTCATTATAACATCAACATTCATAAGTCGAAGAGCATGATTGAGCATAGAATAAATAAAGAAGGGTCCTGTATACCACCAAATTGGTGGATGATGACGATATTCTCGTTCGAGCTTTTCCAGTATGGTTGGAGAAGCAGCATTGTGAAGACGACAATAATCAACCAGTTCTTTAATAGATGTCGCGTCATCGTCTTCGATTTCCAAAAATGCTTCTTTAAGCAATTGTGTGTACATAAACAAAGGATCGATGCCACGAAAACTCATCGAGATCATAGATCGATCACAATGTTTATGGTCGATTTCTAATGCTTTACAAATCGGTTCAATTTGTGTGCAAATACCTTTTATCTTGGGTATTTTTCTTGCCCATTGCTCATGAATTGATTGATTATCACAAAAAACATATACGGAGTTCAATTGTGGACATGCTTGAATCTCTGGTATTACGTGTTGTCCCAGTAAACCAGATATGATCATCAACACTTTTTCATCTTTAACGTCACTAAGATAATCAACACATTGATCGGCATCTGTAAATGTAATAATTGTTGCTATGACATTTCGAAGCTGTTGCATTGATTGTTTATAATCATTTTTCAATTCATCGAAATCAGCATCAAGCCAGATCAAAAGACAATTTTCCAGAATCGGACGCATACGTTCTGGAAGTACAGCACTACTATTGATGGTGGCCATCGTTGTTCGTCCACTAGCAGGAGTTTTTGAGGATTTTTCTGTATTTATAATCGATATATATATGAATCAATAAATGAACGCAAAAGTGAAACGTCGTCTTCCGCTGTTTTTATAATTGTTTATTCTCTTATTTCAACACTTTTTTTCTGGCTTGTTGCTATATACTTCAAGGGCTTGAGATCTCGATCGTTCGCTTTTTTTCAAGAGTATTGTTGACGAAATGAGAATGACGAATGGTTCAAACCTCTGTGCATTAAGCAAGCAGCAAGGAAGAACAAGAACGAAAAGGATAAACAATAAATGCACTAGACTCATCCATAGAAAAGAAAAAATGAAAACTCATAAATAGAATTTTAATAAGGTTGTTCTCTGTTTGTCTTTTGTTGTTTGTTTAGTAGTCAAGCTTTTTTCCAACATTGCATTAAGTAAGGTATTATGTGTGTGTGCATGTACATCTAGACATGTAGGAAGAGAAGAACGGTAAGAAGACCAAACGAAAAACACACGTGTTTTGTTCGCTTGATTCGTTGCAATCAAACAAAATTCAAAATCCAAATACATGATAGAAAAAAATATATTCATTGATTATTCTTTACCAATTTTATCGTAGAATCCCATCATCGGGTGTGGGTTTTTTCTTCATGTACACACTTTCCACGCACACCCACCCACACCCATCCGACCTCAAAAAAATGATAATAATTTTCTTTGTTTTTTTAAAGAAATTTGAATTGTGGTTCATTTAAAGCAGGTATTATTAAAGTTGTTTTATGTTCGAGTGATTTTTCATGTTAAGTTCTTGCTCGTGAAGGATCACATGGTACAACTTATCTAATTAATTTTTCTCAATCTGTAATGGAACATGAAAGTTGATTTGATAGTAAATGAATACAAAATTAATTAGATTAAATTAAATTTTTTTAAAGATCGAATTGAAAATTCGTGTTGGTTTCTTATAGATGTATAATAAAAGGTAGATAAGGATAAATAAATAATGGCAATAACAATGATAACTTCAACTCCTAAGAAAGATAAGAAAAAAAATTCATCAGCAAATAAACATAATCGAGTATGTGTTTCTGGTACACCTAAAGTAAATAATTAAGTAATTATTGAAAATTATTTTATTTATATTCTATTTTTACCATAACCCAAAATATGAATTGAAAAAAATGAACTTAAACAATTAGTATGACGTTTTGAAGCTGAACTTCAAGCTAAAGAAATTGCATTGGCTACATTGAAGGTAAAATATTCAATTAGAAGAATTCTTTCTTTTTTACAAATAAAATTACAAATTAATTTATGATATATATATTTTAGTTCGAAAAAGTAAAAACACTTTTATCAAATGCTCAATTTGGTGGTCTTAGCTGTTAAACTTATTCATGTATTATTACTTCGTGATAGTGGACATGTTAAAGAAGATATACTCAACGAACAAATACCAATGAATAATATATATGAAATACAACTGTTCAACTTGAAGTACTTATTATTCAACAAAGAAAACAAGTAGAAACATTAAAAATTTGCACTTGATAATACTGAACATAGATTTATTTTAGTAAATAAAAACAAATAAACTTGTATTTATAAATAAATACATTTTATTTTAGTTGGTTCAAGAACTTGAAAATGAAAAAAAATTCCATTACAAACATGTCAAAATCAATTATTAATTGTTCAAGAAGAAAAATTTCAATTACGAAATGAAGTAATTATCTCAAAAAAAAGAATTTATTTAATTAGAACAAATGTTTTGCTTTCTAGCTTGATAATATTAAATTAGATAATCAAGATGGGTGTGGGTGTGGGTGTCGATGAAAGCATTTCACCCACACCCACATACCCACATCCACCCACACCCTCTAGAACTGCTGAAAGTCTTATCGGGATTATTTTGTACAAATCGGTTATCTCTATGTAAATCCTGTTCTCTTGAATATTAAAAAAAGGTGATGTTTGGTCTTTTTTAATTTTGCATTTTGTCAGATGAAAAATGCGAGAGGTGGTATCTAATGCATTTTGTAGAGCAATCGATTCTCTAGAAAATCTAATATATGGCTATGCTCTGCAATTCCATTTTTCCAATTAAGTTTTTAGCTCAAGAATACATAGGAGTGTGTCGTCTTTTCTAAGGCATAATATGATCAAGATATTGACAGAACCCGAAGATATTATAGTCAATATGTAGCCCAGACGATGAGCTTTGAGAAGATGTATAATATGTACATATAATTAATATCTAGGTGTTTAATTTGAAGGAATCTTATAAAAGATAATTTTGGATAAAATCCTAATTTTAATGATTTTTCATAAAATCGTAGAAAATCTCATACTCAATATTTATATATTTTTAGTGAAATTTAAAAAAACTGATTTTACAGATTTGATTAGGTCAATATGGTCTACAAATTGTGAAAGTTTCACGCAAGTTGGAAATAGTTGTTTATTTATTGGGAGAGCTCCATTGAATACTCCATAGGTAACATTTTCATCGATGATAGATGATGTCACAGGGAAGGCTTCCATATGATACTACATAATCATATATAGAAAATTCCCTCGCTCTAATATGTTATCTTTTTCATATATATACTATATATGCTCGAATAGAAAAGCAGAATACTATTGGAAATAAGAAACTGATATTAATATTATACTCGAACCATTACAAATACATATAATTCATTGTATAAATAATGCCTTCCAGTGCTGTTATTTTATCATTTCTCGCAATTATAGTATTGTCATGTATTGATTTATCATCACCAGCTAGGATAACGCTTTACGAGCATGAAAATCATCATGGGTCGACTCTCGCCGGTAAGCGTATATATATATTTATTTATTTATTATTGTGATTTTATTTTCTAATATAATCTATATCTAGATTATATAGTTGAAAATAATGATTATACATGTTACAATATGCATGATTCGACAAATGATCATGCTTCATCAGTCAACACATATGGAGGATGTTTTATTTTATTTGAACATGAAAAATCCCAGGCGAGCAAAGGACGGATAAAAAGACTAGTCATTTTTCTAGTCGTGACTATGCGTCATGTCTAGTCTTTTTCTCAAAAAGTTCTACTACATGACTACTCCAAAATGGTTTAGAATCTTTAACCCCGTCTGGGCATCGCGTCCGAAAATATATTTTAAACTAAAAAAGGCAGAGCGTCTGTGACGTGACATCTATTAGGTTCCAGTCTTATGTAACGGTCTAGTTCGGACTAGTCTAAATGATAGAAATATGTGCAGAAAGTTAGATTCGTACATCCATACCTTGTGTTACTTACTCGTCGTCTACCCGATTGAGCCATATTATCTACTGATCAACTTTTACATGTCAATACACATCTGAAGACACTAATTACTACAGTTTGACTCGACGTTTTCTCAAGTTTTAATATTTATAGAAACTACTTGTAATAAAATCGAAAATTAGTTAAATAAAGCTAAGCAAAATTAATTCAGAATTTTTTTAATTTCCTTTAACAGAATTTTTTTTGATTATCGACATTTGGAAAAAGTTATTTTCTATTGGAAAAAACAATTAAAATTTAAATAAAAATAAAAATAATAATATACATTTCAAAAAAAGATCTTGCTTTTCATCTCATGGTTTATGTTTATCTTAATTTAAAATATTTCCTATTTAACTTTGAAAATGAACTATGATTCTACCCTTTAAATCCATTTTTAAATTCAAATCATTAGGTTTTATATTGAAATAAAATAATATCCTCATATCAATGCATTAAAATCAATTTTTCGAATAAAATTATTCTTGATTGTTATTACAATTTAAAAATTTAAAAGGACATAAATAGCCAACTCTCGCTAGATACATCGTTCTAGTCCCAATACAAACTAGTCTAAACGAATTGTCTAAATGATTAAGTCCAAGCAATAAAGACTGTTTGGAAGAATAGACCACTCTGGACCAGAATTGGGATTACTTTCTCGAAAACGACTAGTCATGACCAATATAGATGACTCTTCATAATAGTTCGCGTTACCTATTGAAAACAGTTTAGACTAGTCAGGTATCCAATATTGTCGACTTGAATGTTCGAATCCACCTATCGCCTCCGTTTCTTCTAGCTTTTGCCTTCAAGTTGACGCGTCTGGACAGTATGCACATACAAAACGGACTAGTCATGACAAGATTAGAGCATGTTTTGGACTAGTCTATTTTAGATGCAAGACGTTGCTCGTGAAGACGGCTAGTCCTGACTAGCTGCAAATCATTTCAGACTAGTCCAAACGGCAGTGCAGACATTTTAGACTAGTTCAGACGGGTACTACGGACAATTTAGACTAGTCATGTCGGACGTCACCCCTTATTTTTTGCTCGCCTGGGACGCGACGAATACCAAAAATAATTGTCTCTGTATCAATATGATCGAAAATTTGATGAATAAGTTCGATCGGTAATATTAGAAGATAGGATTTATTTTTCGTTGGCATGATTCGTCTTACTAAGAATTCACGAATGTGATGTTTTGTTTTTCAACTATATATGACGATTGCGCACATGTGTCGAATATTAAAAAAAAGGTAGTAGCATGTTATAGACGAATGTGTAGAACGGAAAAAACCAAATTACGTGAATATTTATTCAACGAAATGTCACGAAAAAAATGTA